TGGAATAAATTGCCTAGGGAGGCTGTGGAATCTCCATCTCTGGAGATATTTAAGAGTAGGTTAGATGAATGTCTATAAGGGATGGTCTAGACAGTATTTGGTCCTGCCATGAGGGCAGGGTACTGGACTCGATGACCTCTCGAGGTCCCTTCCAGCCCTAGAATCTATGAATCTGTGAATAAACATTTGTTCTCCTCACAGGCTTTTTTCCACCCATTGTAGATGGGGTCCAAGTAGGAGTTGAGACTTCAGACATTCTGCTTCTGTGATCCAGAATCCAGAATGCTGTTTTAGGCATTTTTGTCAAGTTCTAGTGACCTATGGAAGGAAAAATTTGCCCTCAAAACAAAATGCCAGAGTTCTGGGTTTTTTTCTAAAATAGGTACAAAACCTATTCATATTTTCTCATATAGGACTTTCTTTACTACAGTCAACTGAAGAATCAGTTTAATCTTCTCTTTCTACACTAGAACTTAGTCCAGTTAATAAATAAAATTGATTTAGCTTTTTTTGGTTCAATACCAGGTTTGAAGTACAGCTTCTTATAAAGCCTGGAAGGGTTGATGAAATCCCCATTATTGACCTATCTTCTTTGAATAGTGGTTCCTCGTAGTCTTAATAATTATCAATAAAATGTGCTAACTAACAGTAGCAATTTGAGCTACAAGTAGTAAAGGTCAGGATTCAGTGCATCTAGTAGATGTGATTTTTGGGGCGGGGAAAGGGGGGGAGAATGTTAGGGCAGCTCTAACTTGTTTACCAACACATTTTTGGTGAAAGAGATAGGAGGATGGAAGATATGTCTCTAAAACAGTGAAGTGGTTTTTTCAGTGATTCCTTCTGCTCTGGAGCATTTAAAAAAAAATTGCCCTGAAATGCTCTCCAAGTGATATGTCATTTTGTTAAAGTAATTTTTTTCTTCATTCATAATTGTACTTGATTATTACCCAAGAGGTGTAATGTAAACCACTTGTCTGAGTTCCATTACATGTAAAAACTAAGAGTACATGTTGGAAAAATTATGTATGGTATGCTACTGTTCAATGTTCAACTAATAAAGTTAGTTTAAAAAAAAGTTCTAGGCATACACCACATCAGTTCAGTTTTTTTGTTGTTGTTGCTAATTGCAGTTGCATTGTAATAAGTTACTCCCTGGCTCCATTTTTCCTTCAATAATTCAGGTGGTAATCTAATGCAGGAACTAAGTTGACATCTATCTCACTGCTTTTATGACTAGGTTTTATGAATGAAATGGATCTTGGTTGGTTTTGCGTTTTGAAATTTATGTTCAAACAGTAGAAAGTAAATTTTAAATAAGTAATTATTTTTTAAAAATGAAAATAAACATTATTTCTCGAATAAGCTTTAGGTGAAAACCTGCTGTGGTCATTCTCTACAGTATGCTTTTTTTTTTTTCCTTCTTTTTTTCCCTTTTGATTTTCCACCATTTCTACCAGTAGTTGTAACAATGAGCGTGCTACCCTGTTTCCCCGAAAATAAGACATCCTCCGAAAATAAGGCCTACTTACAGTTTTGCCTCTCGTTGTAATATAAGGCATCCCCCCGATAATAAGACCTCCCCGATAATAAGGCATTTTTCATTTCTGAAAAATAAGACATCCCCTGAAAATAAGACCTAGCGCATCTTTGGGAGCAAAAATTAATATAAGACACTGTCTTATTTTCGGGGAAACAGGGTAGCATAGACCAGCTGCCAGTGTTTAAATGGGTATGCCACCTAACTTTATGCAGGTTCAGATCACGGTAGTTAGTCTGTACTAGAGCTACTGTCAGTGGAAGTGAACTGGCGATTGTAGGTGACATTTCTGTGTAGGGGGACGTCTACTCCTTGTGGATTAAACTATCAGTGGCTTTAAATGCACATGCAGTGTTTAAGGAACTTTAAAGAATCTGCTAGACTTTTAGTCTGAGAAGATCACTATTTCTAGAAATTGAGGTGCCAGCCTGTTGACATTTATAACTTCTATTAATTGCATGAGGAAAAATGCATCCTCTTCCTCCCTGCATTGATTTGGTGCCTATGCTACTTGACTTGACCAGCATTTCAAATGCTTCAGGTAGGAGTAGTATGTCTTTCAGGTGTTTGACTCTTTTCCTGCTTCCTGTCCTGATACTCTCTTCTAAGAAAAATAATTAGGCAGTTTTGGAGAAATCTCAGCTAAACTGAAATGGTGGGGAAAGGGGTATTATCAGTTCTTTACTGGATTTTGGGGTGTTGAATCTATCAGAGGAAGATATTAATATTTTAAAATACAAGGTTTTCCTTTCATTAGCTGGCTTAGATGCAGTACACACAATAAAACAGCAGATGGTACCAACTTGAATTTTAAAACCTTATGATACACTGTATAAATCAAATATGACCACTTTCACAGTATATATTTTATGGAGATGTACAACTTTAAACCAAAAAACACAAAATTTATCATTAAAGAAATGTACATTCCTTGCCCACATCTCTGCCAACTATGCAAAAGATATCTTTATATATGTGATGGCATACATCCCTGAGTAGAGGTTTTTAGATGCAAACTAAGTCCTAAAACATAGAATTTGAAATGTAAAGTTTTGTCTTCTATAAACTGTAGGTTTTCCATGATGATTTGTCAGTTAACACATAGGGATGCATAAGGTTTGCAAATACATAGGGGGGGAAAAAAGAATCTTATTATATTTTATCAAGAATAAATAAAATTGAATTATTCTATTGTATTAAGTTATATAATTTCACTGGATAGAATTAATCTACAGATAATTCATTCACTGCTTGATTTTAAAGATGGAAGGGACTATTATAAACTAATCTGATCTCCTGTATAACACAAGCCAGAAAACCTCACCAAGTAAGTGCTGCATCAATCTCATAACTTCTGTTGGAGCTATAACACATCTTTTAGAGGGATATATGTAGTCTAGATTTAAAGACTTCCAGTGATAGAAAACCACCACACCTCCAGGGCCGGCGCAACCCATTAGGCGACCTAGGCGGTCGCCTAGGGCACTACAATTTGGGGGGCGGCGGTATTTCGGCGGTGGGATCTTCCGCCACCTCTGTGGGGGGCGGCATTTCGGGGTGGGACCTTCTGCCGCATAGGGCGGCAGAAAAGCTGGTGGCGCTCCTGCACACCTCTAAATAAATTGTTTCAGTGTTAAATTACCCTCACTTAAAATAAAATCTTGAACCTTACTATATTGAATTTTCATCCTGATCTCTCATCTCTCTCTTTCCATTTCACCAAGACCACCTTGCCTGGGTTTTTCCACCTTCTTTAACAAGATAACATTAAAACTTGAAATACTTAGTTTTGGGGTGTTCAGGTAGATAAGCCAAACTTACAGTAGTAGTTCCTGCTTTAATATATTCACTTTAGTTCCTGTTGAAGGTGATGGGCGGAGCTGTTATTTTTATGTTGGAAAGAGAGAGTATTATTCAGTTTTCAAAGACAAATATGGATTTTATAAAGGATGGACTATACTCTGGAAATGTGGTGAATCAGGGTTATATAGTGAAGGAAGATGTGTTCTGTAGGATCCCTACCTTGCTTATTGCTGAAGCTGGAAGGTATGTGGTGAATGAACTCAGAGACTGCAGGAAGAGGGGGAAATGGTTTCATGCTTTTTTAATTTTTTTATTTTATTTTATGGAGTTACTTTCTTACATAGTTGGAAATGTCACGTGAATTGGATATCAAGTGGCAAAAAAAAAAAGCCACTGACAAAGACGATATTACAAAAAATTCAGAATGATGACCACTTACAATTACATTTCCAGCAATGTAAATTACAGCTAATCAGAGTGGAATAATGTGGTAACAGGTGGGATTTTCTCTGGTTTCATTTTTGGCACCAAGAGACTGAGAGCTTCTGAGACTACATAGTAATAATAATGCACTTGGTTGTCCATGACCTACATCTTGTCTGTTACGCTTAAACAGTAGTACTGTGAAGAAATACTTTATAAGATCTGTTGAGCTTCACAAATACTGTTACTATGTGAATTTTGAAATGGTTCTTTGTAGAGCCTTTCCACGGTTTGGAGTAAGACTTCTTTGATAGTTCTAGTGCTTGTCAGCGTAACATATGTTTGGGTATTGAACAAGGCCTGTTTTTCATCCCCCCTTGTGTCTCTCCTTTCCTTCTTTGAATACTGACTTTTTGATCATTCACATACAGGTTATCCCTGGAAAACGGACTATATTAAATTGAGATTATTTGATATGATGTTATTGTATAATGGAATGGGATGAGAACCAAAAAGAATTTATGCCACAGGGCTAACAGAGGCTTGGACTCCTGGATGGACACTGCGCCGAGGGTGCCCGTTTGGAACTTTGGGGGGTTTGAATTTGTAGGATTGCTGGCTGGCTCCTGGAGACAGGGAGCAGGATCACAGAGCAGGTCAGAGAGCTAGACTGACCATGAAGGGAAGCACTGCGAGGCTCCGATAAGACTAGGCTTTCCCTCCTAGTCCCTGAGTAAGAAGTAGAAGGGTTACTGAAAGCTATTGTTATGGTGAAATTATGTTTAATCTGGTTAAATAAAAGTTGAGTGGTTTTTCCAACCCAGAAGTCAGTGGCATAGTCAATCAGTGGATTTTGAAGAGCTCTGCGGGGCCCTTGAAATAGGGTTAAGAGAAGCAGCCAGGATTGCCCAATATTTACAGGCGAGTGTTCTGAGGGGTAGAAATGCTGTTTTAGCAACCCAGAGACACTCCTGTTGAACAAGGTGTGTGCCGGGGAAGGATAGGTCATGTGACACCTGTTAAATTGTACCTCCTCGAGAGTGCAATGGCTTTTCTTGATTTTTTTAGTTCTGTACTGATAACAGAATATTTTCTTTGCTATTTTCTCTAATGTTGGAAGCAGATCAGACTGAATTCCAATTCCCAGTCAAGCTCTAACTTATCGTTAAGGCTCTAGACTGCAATTCAAAGCAAGACATATCTTTACACTTGCTTAAAAATACTAAAAATTAAGAGTATGCTCATAGTAAGCTAGCATACAATTCTGACACTGTCCTTAATACCTAATGATTATTCATACAAATAGACAATTCTTGCTGACTCGCACCCAGAGAACCTTAAATTAGTGATATCTGTGTTGTACTCTTCTTTGGATATCATGGTTTTAAGCAGGAAAGGTGACAGGAAGAAATATGTGGTTTCTGCTTTTATGTATTCCAAGCTTAAAAAACAGTTGGATAGTTAAAACTGTAAATATTTTATTAGTTTACAACATTTATTGCTTAATAGCAAAAAATTTCCGTAGCACTTAATTATTTCTAGACTTTCTGGCATTTAAGATAGCTGAAGTAGCCGAGATATTCATATACAGTGAATGCCATAAAAATGTCCTTTTACCCTGCTTCTTTTAATATTCTTCCTCCCTGTTACAAATGTATTAGTTACCATTTTGCAACCTAAATATTAATTATTGTATAAATGAACTGCATTACTATGGTCAACTGTTCTGATATTTTCTGCACCCGTAATACCATCTTAAATGCAGATATAGGATAATCTCAGGCCTCTTGTTCAGATGGACTTTGGTCTTTCTGTTGAAGTTGGGCATGGAAAAATTGCCATGAAACTGGAGAGGAGGGAGGAGACCAGGCAGAATAGCAATAGAAGAGGTCCCTGTGCACTCCCTGCGTGATACAAAGACAAGCTCTATTTCAGTTCTGAACAGTTGGTTGCAGAGGGAGTGTTCAGAGGCAGAACAGAGTGATTGAAGCAGCATCTCCTTGACTCAGCATCTCCTGCTCCCCAGGTGGGTGCCCTAACCATTGTACTATGGAGTCATTCACACTTTCATGGATCAAGTAACCAGGGACACCCATGAAGCAGTGGAGGGGATATGTTTCATCACCATCCTAACTCCACACAGAGCCTGTTTCCTTAGAGTCAGCATGGGAAGGGTGAAATTCACCCTTAGCGTTAAAGGATTACCTGAAGGAACTTTTTAAGGAGACATACTATAAGGGGTCCTAAAAGATAAGAAATGAACTAATTTGATAGCCTTAGTAGGTAACTTTATATGTAATCTATTGACACCGTTACATACCTACACAAGTATTTAGCATGTAGCTTGATGTCTAGGACTGCATTGTGGATTAAACTTTGGACTGGGGATTTTAGTTCCAAATTGGGTCTCGCAGCTCTACTTTTCAAGGGTCAGAGTTTATTTGATCTAGATACAGCATTCTTAGACTTAGTGATTTTAAGCAGATTTTTTTTTTTTTACTGGTAGATAAGAGAAAAAGAGAATCAGCAGCAACCATTTCTGTGCAGACCTTAGGTAATCTAAATTTCACTCTAGATATTGTGTTGGAGGTGTGTTTTCTAGGTAAAATGCATTTACAAACTCTTTCAACATACAAACCAATAGATGTTTAATTTGGACTGTGACAAGTACCATATGTAACTAAAAATCTGTATGCTGAAAATGGGTCAGAATTACATTTTTCTAGTGTGCAAGATGAATTTTCACATTTCTTATTAATTAAATGTATGACCTATAAGGGCTGTAGAATATTTACATAACTTATTACCTTTTCCAATTGTAACTTCCATGCTTAGGTTTTTAATATTATAATATTTAGGCCATATACCTTGTGTAAGGATTTATTCACAGTAGCAACCTTAAATGTAAATTTACCTCCAGTACAGGGGGTTTTTGAGTTTGCGTGTTTTTGGTTGGGGGTTGGGTGGAAGTTCTTTGGCTGTAAAATCCCCTCTCTCCTTGAAAGACCTGGTGTTCTCTAACCAAAGGTCAGAACTGATCAGGTCTCTCTAGCACTGCTGCTCCATTACCATACCAGCATTAAAGGGAGCTGCTCAGTACTGATCAGGCAAGGATGGAAATGCAGAGATCTTAAATGTTAGGGAGTAATCTGTTAGAGAAAAGACTGGAAAAGGAAGGAAAGAGGGAACAAAACTAGAGGGAATAATTAAAAAGTGAAGCCATGCCCAGAAAAATCCTAGCATTCCTGTTGCCATACAGGAGGAAGGAGAGTTGCCTCACCTTCCAAAATATAAATATTAAAGCCCAGCAGAAGTTTCTTCTTTGAATTTCACAGTTGGAGGTGGGGGAGAAGAGAGAAATGGAGTAGAAAGTCTCTGCATAAAAGTAGGTTCTTCATTTACGGTTGTCTCTAAGTAGGGAAAGTTAATCCACCTACATTGTCTATATATATTCACACTCTTGGGACTTGTGCCTTTGGTGCTGCACAGGAACCTACTTTGATTGATAGCACTATACACATGAAGCCTAAGGTTGAGACCCAAGAGCCAAAAGCATAGCTCATTTTCTTCCTGCTTCAGTTGGGTGAAGGTCAGAACCTTGATGTCATACCCTTCAGCTCTTGGTCTCGGTAGTTAACTCTAGCTCTGTTCCATTTGGAGTTTCTTACTGGCTTACTGGTTCTCTGCTTTTGCTCAGTTATTTTTGTTGCCATCCAATAAATTTTTTTCCTAAACGTCAAGAGATACACATTGTGGCTTGGTAAAATGTCACTTATTCACCAATGTTCCCAGTACTTAAAGTTCCTGAGTAAAGGTCACTCCCAGATGCCTACTGATCACTAAACATATGTACTGGTTTTCATCGGTAGATCTCAAAGTATTATCATCCCCATTTTTCAGATGAGAGGGAAAGTGAGGTACAGAGTGACATGAAGTGACAGACCTGAGAATAGAACCAGATATGCAAACTTTCAGTCGTGTGCCATTCACACTGCTTTCACCCTTAGTCTTGTTGAGCCTTACCCTAGGAACTCTCACACCCAGTGAGTTTCCAAACTCCATCTCTTGAAGAAATCAGGCTTTGTTCAGGGGCCCACCCATGTGGCGGTCATTAGAGGGTTAGGGCCTTAGTTATTACTTGCTCAGGGAGAGCTGTAGAGGATTAAAATTTTGCATACAAACTTATCTGAAGCTCAGTTCAAACAGTGTGTTACTCTTTTGACTTGGTAATTAAGTATAATATCCAGTTCAGAAGAGCAGTCCTTCAGTTAAACTAGTTCTCATCCTTATTGCCTTTGGTGGCTGCTGTAAGTCTACCAAGGGTGGGGCTCTATACTGTCAATACCCAAAGGAGAATGAAAGTTGATTGCCTGTATAGCTCCATCCCTGCTTTTACAGAGGTTCTATTACAAGCTCTCGGTAAGTGGAAGGAAATAAGGGACACTAATGCTGTGGTCCTTTTTTATGCCCTCAAGTGCTAACATTCAGCTCTGTATGGAATCACAACAGTTATTGCTTTCTAGAAGGTTTTGAACTAACACTTGGACCACATCTATTTTAACTACAGTTACTGTTAATAACTTTTTTTCTGGTCTCATTGTAGGTTTTTATTGTTTTGTTTTGTTTTTTGCCACACCGAGAACTATCTTTGGTCCTCCTTCAAGCACAGAGTAACTCCTCTCACCTCTGTGACCTTAATTTAGGTTCCTTATAGCCTCAATTTAGCAAGGTACTTCAAGCACATGTTTAGGCTGATTGAAGTCAATGGGCTACTTACCTTCTGAAAGTATGCACATGCTTCATTACCTTGCTGAACCCAGAGCCCATATCTGTGTTTAACCAGAGGTGATGGACCAATTTTTATAGAGGAGTGTTGCTGATGGAAACCATGTATTTGGGGTTTGTTATTACTGCTTCAAGCCAGGGGGTGCAGTAGCACTCCTACTTCCAGCATCACTGTGTGTAACATCACTTTTTAACTTTAAGTAATTTATTGAGAAACTGTTTTCCACAGAGCAGCAATTAATTAGAAAACTCCTTATTTGTTACATTTCCCACATTTAAGAACTTTTTTTAAACTATTCATTGTATATTTGAGAGTTTGTTTTGATTTGGAGTCACACAATTAGTCACAGCAGTTAAGCGGCTCCCACTGTGTACGCACATGCATAACTGACTCTTCTCTTCTTTAGTACAGATAATGTAAAAGGCATTAAAATGATATAATAATTCATCTTGAATATTTATATGTAACTTTTGACCAACTGTAAGATTTCACAACTGCTTTCATCAGCTGTTTTACAGTGGTGCTTTGACTTGTAGTTCTTGGAAATTCCAAATGATTTAAAATTTGCGTAGGGAGAATGAGCCAAAATTTTAATGTCTAAAATCAGCCACAATGGGAATAGCTTTTATGGTTATGTCTTCTCTAATTCATTTATGATCATACAGTCATTTAAGTTGGAAAGGATGACTAATGGGTTACCTAATTATTTTCCTGCATCGTATGTGGAGATGGAATTTTATTATCCCGGATAAAATGATATTGTATACAATTTTTAATATCTCATGTGAAGGAGATTCCTCCCCTCCCCTGGTAGCTTGTTTTGCTTTCTTGAATGGTTTGGTGGCATATAACCATCTTCTGAATCTGTAACCTAAAATTTTGTTGCTGCACCTTTTAATCTGTTCATCATACTTTGATTTTACTGACTAATGAAAATACCTCTCTCTTCTGTATCGCATCCTTTCTTATTTTTAAGAAATACTGTTCTATACAGTCTTTCCCGATGTAATGTGCCTAGTCTGCTTCACCTTTTAGGTTTTATTTTTTTAGATCTTATTATTGGTGAAATCTGCCTCTCTCATTTGTCTGTTCTTTTGGAGCCCCCAACTGAATCCTTTACTCTAAATGAGGCATACAAAGTGTTGAGTAGAGCAGAATTATCTTGCTAATTTAAGTTGCGAGGTCCTTCTACTTAGGCAATATCTTACATCTATATTTGAGTCTGATTATTACTTTTGCGCCACTTCATATTTCTCTGAATTGTAACTTGTTGATTTCATCCTATTTCTCTAAAGGTTATGCTAAATTTTATCCTATCGTTAGTGTCTCCCAGCATCAAATCATCCACAAATATGACTATCATAATCTCTATTCCACACTCCAAGTTTCTTGTAGAAAAAATTAATGATTTTGGATCCAGAACTCCTGCAGAACCCCCTTGGCAGCTCTATATTACCTCCAGTTAACCCACATCTCATTTCCCTAGGAGACTGTCAACTGAAACCATATCAAATATCTTGCTGGTATCAAGATACAAGTTTACTACTGCATATTCATTCCATCTATTTTATCCATTAAGGTTGAAGGGAAGACATGGTTTTAAGATTGGCTTCTTATAGATTTGTTTTATAATTCTCTCTCCTGCTTGAATTTGGTATTAGAATAGTAAGGCTGAGTTGGCACTCTTCTTTCTCTGGAAATGATAATTCAAACAGTTTTTTAGCATCTGAAATTCATCCACTTGCTAATAGCTATTTCTTATGAAATTCTTGAAAATTATTTACACAAATCTTACTCTGTGTTTACAGAAATATGTTTTCTGATCATACATCTAATTTCTTAACATATTACAAAATTCTCTGCAACAGAAAGCAAGAACTGATATTGTCTTGTTTAAGAAATGTGAAAATGGATGTACTCAAAGTATGTCCACCAGAAAAAATAGTAAAGCAATGTACAGCTAATGAGTGGAAATGGAGTATAAAACCAAAATTCAGTAATCTCAAAATACCATGTGAACTGAGCATAAGGCAATAAGTTGATTCTAACCAAAAGAAAAGTAAATCTTGCATAGAGCAGTGATTCTCAACCTTTTCAGGTTGATAACTCCTTATTCAAAGCCAAATATTCACAACTCACTTTAATTTACTATAAATGTAAAAATTAAATCAACAGCAAAAAATGGTAAATTGATCCATCTACATAATTTGTGTGTGTTTGTTTCAAGAGGTTGACAGAATACCTGACCTTGAAGGGTAAAGAGATGTGGGAAATCAGATTATCTTTGCTTCAGGCTGTTTAAAAAAAAAAATTAATGCCTAGCAACCCCACAGTTGCCATCATGACACCACCGTTGCCCCTACTCTATCCCCTTTTTCCCCACCAGATCTTGACCTACTGGCTGAGAAACACGGACATAGAGCAGCATTTAATGTAAACATTAAAATTAAAACATATTCATAATTTTAAAATCTGAATTGAAAATACACACATTTCTGACTACTTTTCTGTTAATTAATTTCCCAGAATATTTTGTACTGAAAGTGTATTTCCAGAAAAATCTGTACTACTACAGTACTCAGCCAGAAAGGTTCTATTTTAACCTCCTCTATGTGCTGAAATAATTATCCCTCCCTCTGTGGTGCTTAAATTATTTTAAAATGACCTTCAGTACTGAGAGAGTAAAGATTGTACAGAGGTCATGCTGGGCTTTGTTCATATCTCATTATAAACAGATAGTGACTTTAATTTTGTCTCTGTACAGAAGTTTGAAGGAAGTTTAGACTAAATCCTGGTCCTACTGAAGTCAGCAGGACCAGGATCTGGTCTGTAATAAATAACCATGTTGCTCTACTATTATCCTCTGCTGTGTTTGATGCTTTATTTCATTTACCCTGTGGCAAAGTAGCAGATGTATCTTGCAACTTTTTTTTTAAATGAGGTCATTTTTAATTATAGTGTATGTCTTTCATTTCTTGCTATCCCACTTTCATAATGTGAAAACACTTCAGTGTTGAGGGTCCAACTGAGTTATCTTTTCAAAAATTTAAGATTGGGCACTCGTACTAATTTGAAATGTGTTGCTAATACAACATGGTAGCTTTTTTATTTGAAATGTATCAATATTATGCTGGTTTTCCATCTTGGTATTTAATTTTTTATACAATGTACAAATTAAGAGCTAATTTTAACACTCCCCCTCAATCTTAATTCAGCCTGACTGTCAGCTCATTTATAAAGTACAGCAGTACTTTTTTAAGGGAGCAAGCTAGCGTTCTTTCCTTCTTAAATTCTTGGTATCATGAGGTTTATCTTTCCCCATCTAAACAATACCCAAGCAGCATTATGTGGTACTGCTATCCCATCATTTTTTCCATTGTTTGCAATACCTGACTCCAGCACACTGATAATGACATCCTGTGAGACCTGTTTCAATCCTTACCATTGAGCTTTAACATGCCTTAAAGGTGACACTTTAAGTTAATCTTGTTAATTAGTTAACAAGACTTAGTTAATCTTGACTCATTTTTGATGAACTAAAAGTATATAGAGTGAAGCCTTTACATTAATATACATCGATATACTAGACAACTTTTCACAGTTTTCATAAGTATATTTAAAATATAAATCCTTGTCTCCATTATGGGCTGCAAAGTTGTCTGTCTTTATACTAAATTATTCTGACTCGGTCAAAATACTATGTATACTATGTTTCAGTTGAAACACATTCTTATAGACAATTTGTAAGCCAAAAGCATGTTAATACTCTCAAAATGTTAATGGACCCTACAGAATCTATAAATGTTTGTAAATTAACTTCCTAAATCGTAATGTGTAGCCTTTGGAGGGGATGCATTATATTTTGAATGTGTCTTGGAACAAATTTCCTGCTTGTGTAAAAGTACAGTAACCTATGAGAAATAAGTATTGGTTTTATTCAGTTCCTAGTGGATAGAATGTCCACATAACCACTTAGGGTCCTTGTTAGTAGTCTCAGAGGCAGAGGATGGTGGGCACAAAGAATGAACCATTGCCTATCCTGCAGGTAGTCCCTTTGGGTTAGTTAGAACAGTGGTTCTCAACCTGCGGCCCAATCAGCACACAACTGCAGCCTATGTAATATCCTCAGGGCTATACAGGTAGTATTTACCACAATGGTAAATAGGTTGAGAACCACCGAGTTAGACGTTCACTGACAGAATGCGTGCGTATCAACATGAGATTGGAATGCTACCATACAACATATACTGATCCACTCTACTATTTGAAAAATGTACATCAATATTTTTAAAAAGGAAGAAAGTACTGACTTACTTTAAATGAAACTTGGCAATAGGTGAAACTCTAGAATTTTATTTTTGCAACTTGCCTGGACGTTGTTGTTCTCTCTTCCATTGTAACAGTTGCAGCACCTTCTAACATTGCGTTTGTAGAGCCCATGGCTGTACCATCAACTGCACTGATGTCTTTGGGAAAGTTCTGAGAGTCTGAAAGAGCCACCAAAAACCTAAGGATATGCAGGGGCAATAGAGAAGCTTTCACTTGTGCTGTCACACTGGAACCTTTCATGAGCATTGAATTCACATGACATTTATTTTTCTGAAGATTCTGGAAATGAGGCCAGGAAAAAAATCTTTATCCTTTACAATAGTGGTTTTCCACCTGTGGTCCACATACTCGCTCTAAGATTTCCAAAGGGGTCCACACCTCCATTTGAAATTTTTTAGGGGTCTGCAAATGAAAAAAGGTTGAAAAACACTGCTTTACAATAAGAAAATAATTTCCTTTCAATCCCATTTCCCTCCCCAACCCCAAACAATTACTTTTTTCTTCATCCAGTTTGGCAATGCTCCTAATGACAAAATTGCTAAAGCACGTTAATTGAGGCCTCCCAAATACTAACAAACAGTCCTCCTGGATTTCCTGCTTCATTATTACATAGATAAGTAATGCCTCTGTAAATACTTCATTTCCTGTAATTTGTTTCTTCTACTAAATAAGTTGCATACACCTTTTCTTAATGAGATGTAAGGAATTCATTGCTGTCCTAAGGCAGTTTAAAAAGATTTGGTAGGGAAAAGGTTGGAAATATACCAAAGAAATAGGCTTTTGCTTTGCAAAACAAGAAGTGCCTTCCTCTGTTACAGAAATCCAAATTTGCCTGCTGCATCCATCAAAGCTGTTCATTCAGTGAAGGTCAAAGGTTCTGTTGTTGGTGCACCAGCTGATCGTCTGTAAGCTGTATCCCTGAGCATAACAAAGTGCTGTGCATTGCTGATGTGCGTCACAGGACCCTGGGTTTTTGCACAGGGATTAGTCAGGCTGTATTTGGAAACGCCCTCAACTGCACCTTGTGCTGCTATATTAGTGTTTCCCAAGCAAGAAGAATTTTCTTTCACTCCTTCAGCTGCTCCGGCAAACCCCTCCGGTAAGTGTGTGCAATTCATGTAAACAGAAATGGCACTGTCTTCTGCCTGCATTTTGTAAGCCAGTATTATCAATTGCATGTTACTTATGCATGCTTATTCTAACAGCTTAATACATTTTCTAAAAAATCAATGTCTGATAGTGTAGACTTCAAAACAGCACTAAGGGAATAAAAAATGGTTGATCTAGTTATTTAGTAGATTAACTTCTTATATGTAAAATGTGCATTGGTATTACTTAAAATATGGGTAATTTCAGATTGGTCTAAATATACACTGTGCGTGTCATGCCTTTACGGATATACAGCAAAAAAACATTTTTTTTAAAAGATCAGATAATGTAGCAGACCATTTCTTTGAGGTTTACTTGGTTTTTGTTGGCAGCCTGTATGCAAGCCCTGCATCTCTGGACGTTGCTTACCACCTATGCTGTTGCAGTAGGACAAAATCAAGGACAGAAGAATCAAGAGTGCCCTAAGCTCAACGCACAGGTACTCTCTTTTTAAAAGCATGAGAAAAAGTGCTGTCAGTCAATTGTCCAAGAATAACCTCTTAAAACATGCACTTCTTCCAAAAATGTCCAAGTCAGAGTCCAGTGCAGCAGTAAGCACAGAAATTTGTAGCACATCAATCAATCTTCTAAACAAAATTCTGAAATTGGGGAAAACATTTTGACTACTTTCTTGGAAATACAAATTTCAGTTTTCTTTATTTCTTCTATTTTTTATTAAAGTACATATTCCAATACTTAGTATGCTTGGGTCTTAAATAAAAACTTCTCCCCATCCCATTAAGCTACCCTTTTTAGGATTCTAGTACCGTTGCAAAAATATGCCATAAACAAATTAGCATAATCGTTGCTTTGATATCTGAGTGTCATCATTGCAAAGATCAACTTTTTTTCCTTTTTGATCAGCAGTCTAAGACTATGGCTTAGTAAAGCTTACTAGGTTACCAAAACATTTCTTGCCATAGTATGTGAGGTATCTTACTTCAAAATCTCTTTTTTTTACTACACTCTTGTTTTCACTACATACACTTCAATTCCAATTTGGCTTTTTGCAGCTAGTAACTTTCAAATTTAGAAGTTAGAAACTGAGGCTTTATGCCTTCTGAAAGGTGCAATCTTAAATTAACAGAAACAGCATTGGTTTCTAGCTTTAGCACATTTCAAAATAATGTTGCTGCAATCATATCAAATGTGAAAAGGGGGTTGGTAGAAACTAGATGAAAGTAATCAAAGTGATGTGGGGTTTTTACTTCAGATTTCATGAAACAATTACTGTAGATCATCAGGAAAATGAGATTCCCAACTTTTAGGTGGCATTAACCACGGTTTCCAAAATATCAGATTTTAAAACTGTCACTGGTACCTTGCTCTGTCTTTTTGATACTGGTACATAACTGAGTATATTATAGCGAGTCCCAAGGATATTTGTAATTCCCTGAATAAATCTCATCACATAGTAATTTTTAAAGTACTAGTTTGCTTTTGCAAGTTGAGCTCTGTGAGAGCTCCTCTTGGCTTTTAAAATGTTACTGGAAGTCACCACCACAGCATAAAAATAAAATTTGCAGTTAACTTTTTGTCATCACAACTCTGTAGCATTCATTTTCAGCTTCCTTGTTCAGAAAGAATCAAAGTAGATTTTCTTGTTTCCTCTGAATTAAAAGTTGCTGTTAATGGATTTAAAATCTGGAAGATTGCCTAGTTTTGTTGAGGCTTAAATTATATCACACAATTCTGAAAACAAATGTGACAGCAGTTAAAATTCATGAGATTAGTAACATTCATACACATTAAAACACAACTAATTCTTATCTGCTTACCTGATTTAATTCTTATCCAAGATCTTAACATTTTTGGTGGTCATATGGTTGCCTTAGTTTTATTATAGGTTTACAAAGCGAATGCATATCAGCTTGCATCTCTCAACAAATTTAGTAAGAAAACAGCTAATTTCTAAGGCTCTGGACAAAGAGTACTGACACACATAGAAATAGACCTTACTCCATAAAACAACTTGTGTACAATTCTCCAGTTGTCTTCTATTTTTATCATTATACCATCCAGGAGAGGAGGGAGGGTTCTAACAGCTCTTCTTTTTGAGAAGCATCCATAACAGATTAGCCTTGGCAAAACAAGCAAGAACTTTATATATACCAAGTAGTATAGGGTTACAAGGCTATCAGTTTAAAAATACACTGCCCATTTTTCCATGGCCTCGTTCAAGGTATCTCCAGAACAGTGGTGTTTATAACCCTGGTTAGGAATCTTGGACTAGTTGATAAAATGAAAATCTGAGTTTATGATTAATCTTGTTCAGGATGTTCACCTAGATCTAATTGTGGAGTAACTTCTATGTCTCCATACAATTAATACTGAAAGTAATTTTCCGTTTTAAGTCAGATTTTGAGCTTCTCTCACTTACAGGTAATAACATTTTTAGAAAAACCTCGTTCAGTCTGAAATATCCCCTGGTTAGTCAATGGCCAAATGAGATTTGTTTGGAAAGCCTGAAATAAATCTGAGAAACTGTTTTTGAGTTGTAGGATTTAAAAGAAATTGAGGCTTTTCACTTTCTCCACTCTCCGTCCCCCACCCCAAATCTCTTAACACACAAAAAGTATGGTCTGTAAAGTTCAAATAGTTTGTTTAGCTAGGCCTCAATAAGAACATGTGCACAGAACCCCACATTGGATAATTAATTAATTATATTAAAGCATTATTAAAGTGGAGTTCCTTAATGTTGGGGACACTGAATTCCCCCCTGGGGATTATATATCTGTCATTAATATTGCAGCTGTTAAAAGATTCACTTTGTCTAAATCTTTCATTTAATTTTTTAAACAGCTAGGTGTAGCCTTCCTTGTGAAGATAGCCTTCAAAATGTAAACCGACCACCAGTGTCACTGAGTGCCCTATCCAGTAACAAGAACCTCCCTCAAGATCTTGGTCTATGCTCATCCCAAACTCCAGCAAAAGATAGAGGGAGATCTGCTGTGGAATTTTCATCCACTCTTCCCCCTTAAAATTCATACATTCCCCTCAGATACCTGCTGCTCTTGGCTTCAGTGACTGTCAGTAACCCTCCCCCAATATATAAACCAATGCAGTAGACCCTGCCCCTTCTCCTTTCACCAAAAAAATTTAGCTTCATTTAGAGAGAAGAGAAGGCTAAGTCTCCTGCAGGTACTCTTTGAACACTTGGGAGATTCTGAAAGACATGCCTTTGTGCTGCCTAGAGTAGTCGGTTGGTGGGGAAGCAATTTCTCACCTTCTCTGCCCAGGCCACTCTCCGTGATCTGGGTTCAAGCCATAGAGGTACTGCATATTTGTTTCAAAAGTATGAGTTGTAATTGCAAGTCTCATTTAAAATAGATGCTAAAATACTAGTCTCTTACCCAGATACATTATTCCCACAAGTTGTAAAGGCCTTAGCAACATTTACTGCCAGTAGAAATGTCTTGATTTTATATACCACTTCAGCAAAACCAAAATCCTTTTCATGATTCTCAGTGGTGCAGAAAAGGTCTTTGACCAAGTATAATATTTTGTCTATTGTGTTTGAGGCCTTAACTAAATGTGGCCTACAAGGACAATGTCAAAATCAGGAAATTGCACAGTCCCACAGATATTTATGTTTCTTAGTGGAAAATTACTACCACTTTTTGTTCTCTCAGGACACAAAATAGGGATGTGTCTGACTCTGTTGTTCAGATAATTATAATAGAGCGTCGTATTATTAAAGCAGAAAAGGAGTTGGTGGAGGAAACTGACAGTCATGCCTGGAGGATGATTTACTGGGATATTTACTTATCCTGTGTATTCCATTCCCAAATTAGTAGGTTTGAATACATTTTGATAAAATTGTATTACCCCCAATTACAAGCAAAACCTAAATAAGCCAGAGGCACTTGTGCAGAGGATTGCACCCTAATGAATTTTTTAAATTTAACATTCTCCCTACTATAACAGTCAAACAGCCTAGATGGATGAACACATCCCTAATATCGTCAGGTTGGCACTATTTAAAATGAATTTTATCGCTCATCTCCTGGATCAGCTCTCTAGATTTCCCTGTAGTTTTAAGAACTTCATAACATACACACGCACTCACTCTCTCTTTCTCTCATTTCAATAAACAAAGGTTTGAGAGACCTAAATCTTGAATTATCTGCTGCCAGTTTTTTAATTAGATTTTGTAATGTAACAAAGCAACTGTCACTAGAAGCACTGTTTCTATTTGTTGCTTTTCAGGCAGATTGGAGTCTATTTTTAGCCTACACTTGGTCTCATTGGCTTCAATGGAACCAGGATTTTGCCCTTTACATTTAGTATGAATTTTGTGATCAGATCGAATTTTAGTTTCTCTCTCTCTACCCCTCTCTACCATATTCTCCCAGGGTAATGTACGTTATTTATATGCAATAGTAATGATGGAAACAAACAGGAATAATATATTTAAATACCCTGGGATATTATGTAAAAACAAACAAAAGAACAGGAGCATTTTGCTCCATAAATTAAACATTAAATAAACTTAAAACTCTCTCATTAAGTAATTCTCTCACCACATACCCATGTGTGAGATACAGATTTTAAGTACTGAATGGTCCTGCAAGTTGTTACCCTTATTCTCAGAACTTGTCTCCATATCTTCTTTATACAAGTTGTCTCCTACTATGGCTCTATAGGGCTGAAGATTTTCTGAATCTGCACTGTCAATTAAAGCTCATTCATCAACATGTAGGCTGACACACAATCTACCTCAGCAATGTCAGAATTGCCTTTCAACACCATCACCTTTTTTCACACCCTATTCCAAAGATAACTGTATCTTGATGGGCTACTCCAGTAACTTCTGCATATCCTCTATAGAATGTTCCAGGTCTGTGGATCTTCATTCACATCTTTATTATAAGTGTTTAATAGTAGTGCCTAACTGACTGCTTCCATAAAACTTACTTTAAACTTCTCATATATTTCTAATCCTTTTGAAGTCTCTGGCTTCTTATGATCTTCATTGTTTTCTAGGCTTTCTATTTAGACAAGGTGACAAAAACTGAACACAGGATTCAAGATGTGATGTACCATCAAGTATAGAATTGCCCATAAGTGTTCTCTGTTTCTTGGTACATCTTATTTTTTCAACCAACCAACATGTCAGTCTTTTTGATGGGCCTGTGTATATTGAGCTAACTCCTAGAGCTTTCCTGAATGGTTACAGTTATTTCAGAATTTCTGTGTTCACGTGACTTTTTTATGGGCTTTACTTGCACTCCTATGGTAGTTCATTTCTATCTGTCTTCTGAATTCCTCCCAACTTGGATCCTCTTATCTACTCCAGCTATGAAGAACGTGATCACAAATGCAGCAAAAAACAATAAGCTCCGTAGTCGGGAGCATGGGGGGGAGGTATAAGTATAAGTCATACATACTTTTCTCTATAGTACCCAATAGGAAGCTAGTGATCACTTATAAAAAGTAGTGCACTTAAAATGTACTAAAAGTACACATAAAACTAAAGTAATTCCATGGTAAACATATTTTAGTCAAAATGTAATAGCTTGTTGTATTCTTATTTGTAATTAAATTATCACTTATAATGAAAGTGATTAGTTCACTGCTTTTTCATAAGTAGAGACATTGGTTTCAACTATTTAAAGAACTAACATAACACTGCCTGATAGAGACTTCCAGTCTATTGAAGGACACAGATTGTACCCATGATGCAGGCCTGCTTCTGCCTGTGAAAATATCTACATTACAGGATTTGGATTTTATTAACTAATGTGAGTTGTCCTCTCTTTGGAAGTGGCACTTTTGTTCTGAAATATTGAGTATTGAATCTGCCTTTCTTCCTTGATTCTCATGTAGAAGCTATATTGGAACTAAAGGAGCAGCACAAGTTTTCAGCATCAATTAGTACCAGTGAGAGTGAGGTAAGCCACTTTGCAACATAGATGAGGCATGATGCTTTCTTTATGTTCAGAAATGCTTGCTGAAAATGTCATGCACTGAAACAATCACATTTTCTTCTTTTAGAACAGTCTTTTTTGGCAGAAAAATAAACATAGCATTTTAAAGTATTTTCAGAAACCAAAAAAGAAATTGGTGTAGTCCAAAGCAAAGCAATATCAGTGTCAAGATATTCAAATTATGCCCAGAGAAATCTCTGGGAATTAAAAAGAAGTTTAAATGTACCTCTCTCCAATATCATTCCCTCTCTTCTTGGTAACTAAGCCAGCCTAATAATGTCTGAAATACTACTTGCGTAGGACAACTATATCATTTTTGCATTCCCTCCCTTCTAAACACGCATATCCATTTTATGTAATTGAAATGGAAGGATTCAGAGGTGAGTAAACTTTCAAATTCCTGGGGTGAAAGAACCACAGATCAAGGCTGAGGAACTCTTCTTTTTCAAATACTGTAGGAATTCTCTTGTTCGGGCATAAAAATACCCATTTATTCCAGATTTGTCTATCAGCAATCCACAAACTGCAAAATGAATTTTAATATGTTCTATAAAATGCTTCAGAAAAAGTTGAAAATTGCAATGTTTTCTGTTTCATACCATATGACTCTAGTTCACCTGATGTTCTGACAATAGTTCTTGTGAATACTTTTCTATATCTGAATTATACATGCAACTCTGGTGTGACTCTCAAAGGACTCATGAGAGGATTCTTGATTAACCAACAGATTTGACAAGCATTTTTTATGAAGAGCTTACTGTGTCCTCGTCAGAACTTTAATGATTCCCTATCCTTGATTTTTTCCTAATTTAACTTTCAGATTATCTAACACTGAATATCCATTCATTTAAAAGGGACAAGAGAGGTCCAGATGCTGAGTTAGACTGCACCACTGTATAAAGAGTGGTTCTCGTCTGAAATGTGACTGTATAAAAATGGCACCTTACTTACTACTCAACAGAATTTTAAGTGTTGTTGGTGATGGTACAAAACAAATGTATCCAGATTGCAGTCCAGTCTAGACAGTTTTCTTGGTTATGTAGTGCTCACGAAGGTAACAGCATGTGACACTGAAACGACATAAAAAATAAATCTGAATTGAGAATGGGGTGGGTGTGTATCTATGTGTGTTAACAGTTTTGGTGGGGAACGTCACTAACTTCATGAGCCATTGTGATCACTTGTGAGCAAAACAAGACAGTTGTAACTTCCTACAAAAGAATCTGAGCATTCTGTCTTAGCAGTATTCCCACCCAGAACCAACCTATAGCATGAGTAACTGGAAATGGATTTTTGTCACCTGAGTGGCATTGCAGAGTTCTACCAGTTCTCAACCGGTATTGAAATATTTTACCTGTAATGTATGCTCAGTATAGAATCCTACACACATAGCAGAATTGGCTTCAGTATGTATTTGTAATAAATATTTGAAATTTTTATTAACTTCTGAGAAGCGGCTTCAACCATGGAAAAAAATTTGTAGTTTGCTTCGTAAATTGCTGTTAATCTAAGACAACAATCGTTGTACTGTGATGTTATTGCAAGTCTCAACTTTAGGTGTGCATTTTTCCCCCCCAAAGTTTCTCCAAATCTTTTTTCAAAATGGCTGCCATTTCCGGTTTGCTTTCAGTTCCATTAAAAGTGACTGACCTCAGTTAAGGTGAATACAACTTCCCTATAGTCTTTGCAGGTGGTCTGCCTCTAGTAACAGTGATGACCATCTCTTCATCGTTTCCAGTGGAACTGAAACTAGTCTGCACTCTCAGCTATATGATTTGAAAACTGAGAGAGCGCACGGAATGTGGGTCCTGATGGAAGATTGAGAGAGCAAATGAGAGGAAAGGGAGGAAAAATATGGGTAGGAGAGAATTGTAGGACACGAAGCAGAAGAATGAAAATAAATTACAAATAGACATTGGGAGAGGGGCCCAAGAAAGGCAGAAAATGATTGGAGAAGGAAAGAATGAGAGCTCTTCAATCCTAAAATAAGAAGAGTAACCCTCCTAACAGCTATTTGAGGCCCCATTGTATTTAAAGTCTTTAGACTAATCACAAAGCAAATTGGAAACAGTGCAGTTTGGGGGCAATATATGCCAGTGGCTTGTGATTTTTGAAGGTTGGCAGTAGAGGATAATGCTTTCACTCTGTCTAAATACAAATCTAAGTGTCATCTTAATTGTCAGTTACATTGTCAGCATTTGCAGGATTTATATAAACGGGGAGAGATACACAGAGGGGTGTGTATGGGAATAGATAGATAGAGGGGGTGTATCGGGATGGATAGACAGAGGGGTGCGGGTGGGGATGGATAGATAGAGTGGTGTGTACGGGGATGGATATATGGCATACAAAATAGCATTTCATCATGGTGAAAATGACACCATGGTGAAAATGACAAAAGAACTGTTAAGAAGGTTGGGTTTTTTGGTTTTATTTGGGCTTTATTTCCACAGTGACTTATATATTTAACAGACTCTGAGGGCTCATTGATGAGGGTACAGTATGAGAGAAATTAGTGTCAAGAATAGGAAGAAAGGTCAGTGTTGCATGATTAGATTGATGTTCATCAGTCATCAGATATGAATTTCTCTGGTAGCCCCATCAATTATTTGAGAATCTATGCTCCTTTTTAAAAACATTTTTCTAGCTTTTATGTGGCAAAGATCATGTGCCAAGCATGAACTGATGCAGGCTGTGTTTGAACAGTGAATGAAACATTAACTCATGGCCAGTTACATCCCATAGTCCCCATGGTGGTTACAGAAGGCCTCAGATGAGGGTGATAGGTGGTGCAGGTGATAGGTGGTGCATAGGGACTTTGCAAGAAAAAGAGGATTTGGCATGATAGGAATGATGCTGGGCAGTGAACAGTGAATTCACAGGGTAAGAGCACCAGTGTAAGCAGTGCCTCAGCTTCTGCTACTAACTTTAGAGTCGTAACAAAATATATATGGAGCACGTCTGGTCACCTGGTTGGAATGACTACCACAACTTGATCGGTACTTTTGCCACTAACCTAAATTATCACTGGCAGTGGAGACAACCTGCAAATGTCCTAAAGGGGTTATCAGTTGAAACTAGATTTGGATTTGAATATAAATGTTCCCCAACAGTGTGTGCAACCCATGCAGTTGGAGCATTGTACTTACGCATGAAAACTTGTAAATGAACCAACTTTTACTGTATTTTCCCTCTCCCCAAAGTCAAGTTCTTCTGAGCTGTCTCTTCCTCTCCCCCAAAACTGAATAAGTTGACAACTCTGCCAGTAAGACTGCTCAGTCCTTCCAATTTTTCAAAAGTTAATGTGTAAAACTTCTGTGCTGTCTCCTAACAGTACCATCTTGAGTTTTGTTTCCTTGAATTTACGTCAATTCCTGCAGTACTGAAATGTGACCTGTTGTATCATAGAATGCCCTGTATGGGTTACTGTGGGCATACCTTGGGAGAACAAGTAATGTTTTGTGCACAATCCTCACAATTATGAGGTGGATTCTGAGGTCAGTCTTTATAAGTGAACTGAACATCTTAGGAACAACTAAAAGCCATGATAAAACCATCAGTCTTAAGGGCATACAACGACACAAGACACACTCTTAAACCCAACTCTTTCTACTTCTTGGTGCCTTACTGCAGCATTTCTTGTTTCTCTTCTTCCTTAGAACCCCTTACTTTCCAGTTGATACATAGGGGGATCGTGGAAAGTGGGGAGTGGCTAATTGAGGAGAGCGAAGGAGAAATCATTTGGGAAGCGGCGTTGACAAGGATGAACATAGATTGTATGCACTTTGGGGACCACTAGCAGTCCCAGGGTCTTTTTTTTTTTTTTTTTTCCCCACTTCTCCATTACCCTACTCAGTGTTATGCAGAACTTTTTATTGGTGGTACCGGCCCTTTAATGTTTAACAATTAAATGTCTATATTTTAGTTTATAATTTATTTCCTTCTCTGTTCTATTTCTTATAGATGCCAGAATTTCAGAAGAAGACTGTCCATATCAAGGACCCAGGAAGAGTAGAAGAAATCATCTGTGGACTCATCAAAGGTGGAGCTGCCAAACTTCAGGTGAAAAATGGGATAAAGATGTGTGCAAGATATGAACAAACAATCATGCTGTTTGTTCTAGGCCAGAAAGTGGAAATGTGTGTATGACAGGAGCCAACTTTCAATAAGACTTCAAAGTTGGGAGATCTGTTGAACTATCTCAGTAAACCTCCTAAATTCAAGTGTATAACGTCACTATTTTCCATTAATGTCATTAAATAGTGAGTGACATAAGGTAGCCAAGTCAGGAGATGTCCAAACTCTGGATACTAAAAGGATAACTTCAGGACAAGATACAAAAGCATATTATTTTAATGAGTTACTCTTAGGGTGACCAGATCACAGAGGCGAAATATCTGGACGCGGGGGCGGAGCCAAAAAAACAAAAAAAAAGCCGGCGGCGGAGGAACAAAAAAAAAAGCATGAACAAGCGGGAAGCGCCTAGGCTGGTGCCGGCCACACGCAGATGTAAACGGCGGCCCCGGGACTCAACAACCCCCGCCCGGAGCCTGAGGACTTACACCCCGACGCCGCGGAGATGGGCACAGGCAGGGGGCGTGCCCCCGCCAGGTCCCTGTGCGGAGACCGGCCTGGGCTGGCCGCAGCCCCTTCCCCGGTGGGCTCCAGCTCCCTGCGGGCCCGGGAGTGCGGAGCCATAGCGACCTTCACGCCACTGGGCTACACCCCGCTGGAGAAAGCGGGACCTTGCCGTGGCCCCCAGGCCGGGACCCGCCCCAGCATCGCGGGATGGGATCTCCTCACCTAGGGTCGCACACCCAGCCAGGCACGCACTGCTCCCCCTGCCCTGCCCCCCGGAGGCAGACAGACTCACAGATACTAATTATCCCCAGCACCACGGCGGAGCCGCCGCCCGACCAACCCTTCCAGCCACTCCTCCGCCTCTCCCTCGCTGCGTGTCAGGCAGAGGCATGCGTGCGCCTGGCATCCAGTGCCAACTACAGCCCCCTGCCCGCCCGAGCAGCAAAGCTGTGGCAGCAGCCAAACAACCGCGCGGAGCAGGAGGAAAGGGAGGCTCTCAGGGCGGGCTGCTGCGGAGCTGGCTTCACAAACACGGGCTGGGCAAGGGGACCGGCAGTCCGGCACCCAGCCGCTCACGGAGCCCAACTCTGCCGCCCTTTGCAAAGCGCCTGGTGGGACACGGGACCGCTTGGCTGGGGCACGGGCGGCGGAGCCGCAGCCGGCATCCCCCACTCCTTCCCCGGCGCCGAAGCCAAAGCCTCTGCCTGCTCCCCGCAGGGCGGGTATTTGGGGAGGGATCCAGTGGGGCAGTGAGGGGGCGGGGATTTGGGGAGGGATCCAATGGGGGAAGGAGGGGACGGAGTCGGGGCGGGGGCGTAAGCCCCCTCTGGGCTCCGCCTGTGGAGGCAAAATAAAGGACGCGGGACAATGAAGTAAATATCGGGACAGTCCTGATAAAATCAGGACGTCTGGTCACCCTAGTTACTCTAATTATAATATGATATTATGTAATTGTGATTATTTATCATAATAACTGTTCTAATTCTCTATAGTCACACTAAGGTATTTCAGTAGTCTTTATAAGGAAACTTGTGGTAGCTCTATTGTCTTCACAGCTATCAGTAGTGATCATTCAGAGTCTAGGCATCTGTTTTATAACTTTTTTTTCTTTTAATAGATCATTACAGATTTTGATATGACATTAAGTAGATTTTCTTACAATGGAAAAAGATGTCCAACATGTCACAGTGAGTACTTTTTATATGAAGTGATTTTCTTTTTTTTAAATACTGCATGTAGTTTTCTTTCTTGTTTTTCCCTGCTATATGGAGACTTCATGCGCTTGATTTATTTGAGTTGTACGATCTAATAAATGAGTTTTTAGAATGTCTTAGTTGCTTTCCACTTTGAAACAATTCTCAATCAGTGTTTCAGTATATCATAAGAGATCAAATCTAAATAACTCAGACTTGAAGTTACAGTGCACAACTCCAGTAGGGTTATCTTTGCATTAATAATTTAGACTTGCTGAAGAAGATTTGATTGATTACAGGGTTGTGTATGTGGTGTTATGCATTTTTAGAGTTGCCTAGGGTTATAACAATGACATTAGAAAGAGTCACATGGTTAAAACCCCCTGCAGCTCTTGGAAATTTCCCCTTTACCCTCCTCTTAAAGCAGAGGAAATGAGATGATGTGTCTTCATGAAATCGAGCTGCTAAAGTTGTCAGGCTATGATAATATGTTGAGAAACTTTTCAATTTAAAATTTAAAATAAGGGACATCAGTATTTTTTTTTCTTCTTTCTAATTAAATATTCTTTTTCAATCAAACTCTTGAAAGACAAGTATGCATTCTAGTGGGCTCTGGTATGAACAGTTGTGAGCAAACTTGTGGTATAGTAACACATGCTCAAACGTTGCTCTTCAGCATTATACAAGGCATAGAAAATAAAAAGTTGAGAGAAATTCAGTCCTTTAGATAAAACTTCTTGTGACTTTTTTAATAATCTTTTCAGATGTCATTGATAACTGTAAGCTCATCACAGAAGAATGTCGGAAAAAGGTAACCAGAAAATGCATTAGCCATTGATCACTGGTACAGAGTGATTCATTTCACATTATATTTTAGTTCTAGTGTGATCTGATTTATACTGCACTGTAAGAAACAAGGAGTGAAATTGTGGCCCCACTGAATTCAATGGGAGTTTGTTCATTGACTTCAGTGGAGTCAGGAGTTCACCAGCCAAGCCCTCAAATTGTTAACCTTGCATAATGTAAGCATATGTATATTCCTATCAAAACTAGAAATAATCTAGTTTCACAAAATGTACAATTTACTTTTGTTTCATCTTTGTTATGTATATAAACTAACTTCTTGCACTCATCCGTACATTCGCATACAAAAATACAATATAAAGCATTTCAGATTCCATTACAAACAACTAGTAATGTAAATATAAAAATCACAGATAAATTGAGTTGAATATTTAGATCAAAGCATGGAGGTTGGACATAAGTGATTATTCTAAATACTTTTTTTATAATTGAAAGATCTTAAGTTCTGGTTTTCTTTTCAGTTATTGCAGCTGAAAGAAACATATTATGCTATTGAAATTGACCCTGATCTTACCATTGAAGAAAAATATCCTTACATGGTTGAATGGTAAGAGTTCGTTTGTTTACAGTTTTCACAATGAAGTAAGATTTAAGTCTTTCTAAAATATATGGGCTAAAGTTAACCTATTGCTAATTTAGTTAATTTAAGTTGCCTCTCTTTGGGGAGTGTTGCACAAAACCGATTTTTGCTGTTGCTGACGCTGCTCAGTTGGGGCATCCTGAACAACGTATAATGTGTTCCTCCTCAAAATTCAATGATACATTAGTGAACAAATTCACTAATTATAATTTGAAAAACTAAATATCATTCCCTATGTTTTGGCTGGATACATATTTAATCATAACTTGGTCATAGGGTATTTTTAGAGTTTCTCACATTAGTAGATCATTTTAAAAAGCTTACAAAGAATTAAATGTAGAATGCTTCTAGAGACAAATGAGATTCAAAGATTTAAATGTGAACCTTACAGTCCTTAAGTCAATGGACGTTTGACATTTTTTTCTTTTTTTATTCCTAGGTACAATAAATCACATACTTTACTTGTTGAACAAGGTTTACAAAAGGATAAATTTGCAGAGATCGTGAGGGAATCTGATGTTATGCTGAAGTAAGATTCTTTGACCGTCAGATCAGTTTAAAGTGTTTCCATGGACTCTACTCTATTGCCATTATGCTTACTGCTCATATATCAGGAAACCATTTTTGTTGAAAACTGTAGATACATAATATTTTCAGAAGAAATTGGATGTGAATATTACATAACTTGTGTCTATTTTGCATCTGAAAAATACATTAACATGATAGAAAGATGTATTAGAATGAATATTCGAGATATTTGAAACTACGAACATTCTACTGTGTCAGACAACTTTTGACATGATGTCTTACATAGTTGTTATTGCTATGAACTTTCTGCCTCATAGATATATGTACAGGAGAGGTTTTCAAAAGTACCACAGGGATTTAGGCACTTGACTTTATTCCCTTGGAAATCTCCCTACATTTGCATGTGAAATACTAACAAAGCTAGCAACAAGACCATTTAGGAATGTCTATATTTTTGAAATAATAGTGGAATATTATTCTGCCCGTAAGAACAGAGACAAGTTTTAATAACCAGCATCCTTGCCCCTAGTGTCCTTACTATTACCGAGGCTCCAGTGTTTTTTCTATATTCTGTGCTTTTCTATCAGCATTTCCAAAGAGATGGAGCCGCCCCTGGTCAAACTGCTCCAGACTGGGAGCCTGCCTCTTGTCTGCCGTGCAGAGCGGGAGAGGGGACTGATGTCGAGGTGTCCCCCTCCCCCCACTCATGTACCTGGTCACCACTGAGCTGGGAACAAGGGAAGCCCGTCTGCTATTGGCTTACGAGCAGGGTGGGCTGGACCACCACCCAGGATGCCATGCTCAGTGGGGAAGGCACCTCTTCCCACTGTTGCTCTGCTGTCTGCAGCCAGTGCTGCTCCTACACTCCCCCACCCCTGCCTTGGAGCCACCCCCGGCCAAGCTGCTCGAGACCAGGAGCCTCCTGTCTCCTGTGCATGTGGGGTGGAGGGTGATATTGGGGTGTCCCCATCAGGGCCGTCCCTAGCTATTCTGGGGCCCTACACAGCCCCCCATGGGGGGGGGCCGTCCCCAGGCCTCCGTGCGGGGGGTCTGGGCTGGCTTGGGGGACAGGGGGAACCACCCGCCAGCACTCACTGGTAGCACGGCTGGGACCGGGTCTGCACTTCCCACCACCGGTGAGTGCAGGCCGGCCATGCTGCAGAGCTCAGGGGAGTGGGGGCGGAGCATGGGTGGGAAGAGGGGGGCGGGGGCGGAACACGGCGGGGGCCCTGGGCAAGAGCCGGAGCTGGGGCTGGAGCAGCACGCAGCTGCACAAGGCACCAGGAAATTTGGTGCCCCACATTTCCTGGTGCCCTATGCAGCTGCGTACTTTGTGTATGGCTAAGGACGGCCCTGGTCCCCATCCCCTAGCCCGTGTACCTAGTCTCCGCTGAACTGGGGTTGTGGGACAGGGAGCCTGTCTGTGCTGCTGCCTGTGGGTTAGGAGTAGGAGCTACCAGCAGATGCTGCTGTCTGAGCAAGCATTCAGACTAGTGAGTGCAGTGCTTAAAGAGACAGCGTGCTGAACACACTCAATCCAGCACACACACACACAGTGTCTCGCACTCCCCCAACACACTCTGTCCTTCCCCCAAAACACACACACACACCCCTACTTCCCCTCCAACATCCAAAAATATTTAATTAAATGGTATTCTATTATTGTTTAACAGAGCAATTAAAACTGCCATTAATTGTGACTATATTTTTAATCTCTTGATTAATTTTTTTAATAATTTGGCAGCCCTAATAATTAATCATTGGAACAATTTACCTAGAGATGTGGTAGATTCTCCATCACCTGGAATCTTGAAATCAAGATTGGATATCTATTTAAAAGATATACTCTCACTAAATCAGAAGTTACGGCTCAATGCAAGAATTACGTTGTGAAAGTCTGTGATGTATGTTATGTAGGAGGTCAGACTAGATGATCATAATGGTCCATTCTGGCCTTAAAAAAAACCTGTGAAAACATAAATACAGTGAAATGCCTATGGAAACTTCACTTTTTTTCCCCATGAAGATGGGAGAGTCCTTTTGAAAATTTACCTTTCATATTTTGGGGATTTTTTTTCTGTGTTTTATCTTGTATTTACATACATCCTGTTCTGCAGGGAAGGATATGAGAACTTCTTTGATAAGCTCAATGAACATAATATTCCTGTGTTCATATTTTCTGCTGGGATTGGAGACATTCTAGAGGAAGTCATCCATCAGGCTGGTGTCTACCATTCTAATGTCAAAGTAGTTTCCAATTTCATGGATTTTGATGAGAGTGTAAGTATGAAATACAACATTTCTGGAGCTGAAAGGGGTAGGTAGAGGGATAAAATATGTATTACCCATATAATACAGCATAACACCACACTCTAAATGAGCATATTAATGCAGCAGATGCAGCCAGTTGCCCTGCCATTTGGAAAAGGAGCACTGTGTAGTCAGTCCTTGTCATAGGCACAAAGCAAATAGAAGAAAACATCACCGAGGTGGTTGCTAGCTTACTTGTGGGCTTCCTGGGGCAGCACAACGGTTTGCTACCTTTTTGCTCAGATCACCGATTTGCAGTCCTAGCCCCTTAGCAATGCTTCTGCTCTCTCATAGTAATCTGTCTTGCATAAAACCTAAGAGGATTAAAAGAATAAATATTTGCCCGAAATAAAACATCTAGAGATGAAATATACAAATGTCACTCTGAAATTTAATCTGTTCTCATAACATTAGAAATAACTTTTAGTGTTTGTTTAATAGGGTGTGTTAAAGGGATTTAAAGGAGAATTGATTCATGTTTATAACAAACATGATGGTGCCTTGAAGAACACAGAGTACTTCAAACAGTTAAAAGACAACAGCAACATCATATTGCTTGGAGATTCACAGGGAGACTTAACTATGGCAGATGGAGTAGCAAATGTTGAACACATTCTTAAGATTGGCTATCTAAATGATAAAGTAAGTAGTTTACATATTGGTACATTTGGGCTAGGATATTTCCTTCTAATCACACATACTGTGGGTTAGCAAAATAAAGACATTCTATAAAGCTTTAAGTACCTATTAAAGTTATCCCTTTAGTATCTTCTACCGTTCAAATGTATTCCAAAGAGTTGACACTCAAAGGGTTTCCTCACCTCACACCAATGACTTGTTAAAGCACAAACTTAACTATCCCCCATCCTTTAGTATTATCTTTACTGGAACTTCTGGAGCAGCTGTCTCGCTGGGATATGAAATTCTGGGGCTGGGGAAAGGCTATAAAGTAATCAATCATCTTTATAGGCGATGATTCTTTCTCTTTAAACCCTGTCCCTTTTTCCTTCAGCCCCACATCTGTGTCTTTCCAAAGTTGCAATAGTTTCTTGCTTTTAGTTTCTCCTACTTTGGATGAGATCCAAGACTTTGACTGCAAAATTAAAAGGCACTTCTAAAGTGAAGATGCATTTCAAGTTGAAATATATACCACATTCATCGGGTGTAAAATACTGCCTGTATTTTCTTCTCATCCACTAATGACACAATAGAAGTCCATTCCCAAATTCCTTTCATGGAGATGAGAAGTTTCAAACTGGCTTGTTACTCATTGACAACATCATTATGCATAAAGTCTTGAGTAGTCTGCCATAAATGTATACTGGCGGGGGGGAAGCCATATATACTTGAACGCCTATTATACATACTTTTAAATAAGTGGTTTGAATTTTAACTTGCTTTTAGTCTCACTTCCACAAACTATGGAACTCAAATACTCAGTAGCTAGTAGTGGATATGCGTATTTCACCTTGATAATTGGAAGAAAGACTTGATATAATTTTATAATGGTGGCTGACTTTTCTACATTAAAACCTGTTAATTGGGTGTTCTTTCTTCCCTCCCGCCCTCTTCCCCTTCCCCCATGCTGATAAATAGGTAGAAGAGCTTCTGGAAAAATACATGGACTCTTATGATATTGTTTTGGTGAAAGATGAATCTTTGGATGTGGCCAATTCCATCCTACAGAAAATCCTGTAAATTGCATCCTCAAGTCACTCTACTTCTCCTAATGGGACAACTGGACAGAAGAGCACATTTGTGTTATCTTAGAGCTGTGTTTATTATTCATATTGTTTTCTGAACTCTTGTAATTCTTAATTTAAAAATTTTGATCATCACTTTGGTATCTAAAAGTAATATACAGCATCCATTGTCAACTGGAAGCTTTACTGTTCTTATGCCACCCCTCACTGTCTCTCACCTCTGCTCTGTTTTAACAAATGTGATTAACTTTACTGCTTAGAGGACATTACAATTTGTTCTTTTAATCATGCATATGAGAGGGGTGTTTTAGAAATTGGAGTTATTTTGTAACATTTAAGATGTAAACATTCTGTGATTAGCTAATGTGCAGGGGTCTGTGTTGCATTTTGTACAGTCCTGAGTTCTCTCTCACACAGACAGCTATTTTCAAGAATCATAGTTGCACGTGAGGGTAGTGGTGTTATTTTAATGTTTCACAATACAAGTTTTCATAATTTTTTTTCCCCTGGTGAAAATGATACAACATAAAGATGTGATTCAGACAAAATGTTACTGTATATGGACTCTAGTATCACTTTAGCAATTTTTTTAAAATCAGTGATTTGATGTAAAGTTTACTCTTAACTAAATAGCACTGCCTTATCAGTAACAGTTGGAAGTTAAGGGTTAGTCACCTGTAAAGTGGCTTTGAGTGTTTTGTGCAGCAATTTTAGAGAACTACCAAAAAAAAAATCTCCCGTGGAAGGCTGTAAAATACAGTTAAGGGAAGCAGTTTGCTCTTCTGGTTACTTTTTAACATTTATTTACCCTTCAGCTGTGCAGTGGGAGAATTACACAGGTAGCTTGCTTTTCTGGTGTAATCAATACTACACATGAGTGAAAGGAAACTTCTCAGTACTGTGAGGATAATTTTACAAACTAACACATCAGCCCACTTTCAGGGCTTCATTCTTTATGCTGCTGTATACATAGTAAACCACATCCCATATTATAACAATGATTCTAAATATCTCTAAAGTGACAGATAGTGTACATACATACCTTGTTTTAGCCTATTGATCATCTCTTGTGAACCTAAGTTTTGGTTTAATTAGTGGTGCCATTACAGTTCATTATGTAAATCCTCCTTTCACAGGATTAACCATGGTGTTCACCTATTGTCAAACTGGCTGCTACATAAGCCCAGTAAGTTATAGACTGTTGCTGCATATATTCAACTCCTATTAATAATAAGTGAGTTGGGGGGTCACTGTTTTTCCCCACCCACAAAGTAAAGATGGTTCTTGAAGTGACTGGCCATACAGATTCCACTTTTCATGTGCCCCATGTGCACAGGATTGGATTGTTTTGGCCAGCAGTGTCAGTGAGGCCACTCCTGAGGTGTCCTTGCATCTGTCTCCACCCAGGAGCAAAGCAGATGTAAAGCAGGCTCTGTTCTCTTACCGCTGCTGCATCTCTATGTACTGTTAGTATTACTAATGTTAATTAGTTCAGGAGTGAGTTGCAGTCTTTAAATTCTTTTGTGTCAAATGACCATCAGCTATTTTGCTTAGAGGCTAGACAAGGACAAGTACAAGGGATCCAGCGGTAGGATAGAAGCAAAACCCCCAGGGTTAAAAACCTGCTCCTTGTGTAACACTTCAGTGCCCGCTTACAGCTGGGCACTCATATTCCTGAGCAATGTTCAATATGCTCTCTCTAATTAAACAAAAAGCTAGAGAGGCTTGCCTAAAACTCTCTCTTACAAGCCTTCAGACAGCAAAAGGAAGGATGTAGGTAGGCCTCAGTTATCACGTCACTCCCTTTCCAATGTGCCCCAGTGACTCAAAAATCTACCCCAAGCACCCATGCTCTGTCAACCAAGAGACCCTAGATGTTCACTTCCATTCTGGCGTTGATGACCCCTGAGAGGTGTAGGAAGGAGCACGGCTCCAGTGTCAGGTTGAGATATTGGTTACCCTCTGTCATGCCTATGAAATCCAAACACAAGAGTCACCCTGGCTCTGACTCAAAAGGCAAAGGGTAGCCAAGGGCCAGACTTTGATCCTTTTGGTGCATTAATACTACCTGTTAAACATATGCCTCTGGTACCCACTAAACTTCTGGACCACCCTTTCTTTTGCACTGACCTCCTTAGTATCTTGCTCATTGGCACGGTCCCTATTGGCACAGCGCATATACAGTATGGAGCGATTTCTCTGGGTTTGATAGTGCAGCCACCCTTGCTAAGTAAGCAATTAGTTACAGAGACCTCAGTACTGACTCATTTCCCTACTGTAGTGGACATTAGAGCATCCCAGCATGCCTGAAAAAGTAGCCCCACCATTGGAGGAGGTATACTCCTTTTCATCCTCCTTGTTGATGTGCAGTAGGGACTCATCTCCCCTCCATTAGGATCACACTGAGAAACATGAACTGCTCTCTCAAAAGGAGATGGCAAGGATTTCTGAGAACAAGCCACCTGGTGTCCTCCATTGTGTCCCACCAATCTATATCCACATGCTTGTCACCCTTTAACTCTGCTGGTTAAGATATGCAATACCATATTTGCAAGCCAGTAGCTACTGCCCCCCTGCCAGGACTAACTCCCCTTCTCCCCAGAGGCAATATAGATCTTCCCAGGCAGGTCAACTAAAGCAGCCTCAGATACTAGAGCAGGGGTCGGCAACGTTCAGCACG